TATGGTTCATCCCTGCCCCAAATAATTCAAGGGGAAAATTAGGAGGATCTAAGCTTTGAATACGCTTCAGTATTACAACTCTCTCATCTTGAATGCTTAACAGACGGAAAACGAATAGGGAAAAAAAAATGTTTTTGCTGGAGGCAAAACCATTTTGAGACACCCTGAGTCTTGGATGCAAGCCCGTTTTGAGGACAAAAGTGAAAACTTTTGCCAGGCATTTTGGTCTGTTTTCGCCATCAAAGTGAAAACTGGCAATGGGTTATATTATTCAGGTTTATTAGGAATATACTGCCTGAAAGAACATCTTCCTCGTAAAGCTTCAAGTTTTTCATCAATTGTTATGAGCTCACCAACAGTGTAATATTTCTGGCAGTTATTCACAAACTCTTAAACAAACTCTGTTATAGGCTGAAGTTTATCTGATTCTTTCTCGACGATGCGAGCTCCTATGTCATCAAAACACAACCATCTTAATTAAAAAATATATATTATTTTTATAATTTTTTAAGCTAAAAACTCTAGAAATTGAATGTTATGATCCTAGAGACAAATAATATATGAATTTAAAAAAATCTACTCTTGCCCATTGTTCTGTAGGTGGTGGTCGCACTGTGAAACCACTGCACATCTAGGACTTTGAAACTTACTGAGGTAGTAGGGGGAAAAACTTACCTTTTTGCTATGCACGTTTTCAATAAATGAAGAAATTTATGAACTTTTTTTAAAAAATGTATGTAAGAATTGCATTATATATATATTTTTTGCATTATTTTAGAAAGTAAATCGTCAGAAAAAATTAAAAAATAAACATTTATGTAATTTTTCTATAGCAGTGAAAATATAAGTGCTTACACAATAAGGACGTTCAGATAAATGGATTAAAAAACTCAGTAAAATAAGGATTAAAAAAACCTCAGTGTTTTTCTTTTTTAATTTCAAAGAACTCTTTTTTTTTTTTTTTTTTTTTTTTTTTTGTGTGTGTGTGTGTGTGTGTGGTGACGCTGTTCAAAGCATGTTTTGTCTTTTTGGTACATGCACAGAACCACATTGCACGTTTTGCCCATGTATCTTGTTCTATGAGGTTTCTTCCTTGTGCTACAAAATGTACACTGCCTGGATCTAAATTTCAATGGTATATGTCCAGCATTATTTAGTTTCTTTTCATCTGGCACATGAAATTTGTGGTTTTTTTTATGTTAATTGGGGGCAGGGCTTGTTTTTTTTTTTTTTTTTTTTTTTTTTTTTTGGTTTTGGTACGGATCATTCGTTTTCCATTCATACTTATTTTATGTGTATTTTGTCCCAAAATATTCAGAAAATATTTTTAATTTAAATAAAACTTCATGCGATTTCTATTTTTAATTATAAAATCACAATGCTAGTTTGGGGAGCAAGTGTGTTGAGGTCAGAGAAAAGTCTCTGGAAAAGAAAGACCTTTTTACTGGGCAGGTGTATGTATTGTTTAGTAATATAATAACTCTGTGGTTTCAAAGCCCCTTATCTATATCTGGGTAAAAATAAATATTCCTATTTGAGAACCAAGCAAACGCCATTATGAAGAGCAGTGGTTTCAAGGCGCGATCACCGAGCCTCTAGAGGACTGTGATCACTGTGACACAATGCTCTAGTGGCGCAGTCATCGCGCCCTGAAACAACAAAGCAAATGCGATACATATAGAGGGTTTTTTTATATATATGCAGTTTAATTATTGCAATTTTTTATTGTTTATGATAGAAATCATGATGTGCGATGAATGGCATTTGAAATTTAAAGTTGTTTATATTAATGAAAGGAATTTATTTTGTCTCATTGAAAACGAATTTTAAAAGGCATCCGATTTGAAGTACTAAGACTTAAAACATGTAGGATTCTGCTGTCATTTTGTGTTATTTAGAGGTCAAAGATCAGTAATCAATTGATTGTCACTCAAAAATTTCGGAAAGAAGAGAAGAAAAAAATTCAAAAATTGGTGGTTTCAGGGCGCGACCACCGTGCACCAAAGGGTTAAGGTAAGAAAATTGATTCAAAGTAGCTTGAAAATTTTCAAAATTAAAAGATGCACAAATATTTTGTTATGCATTGTTGCTATGAAACATGCATGTTTTGTACCTTTTTTTATGTAATTATCCTAATATCGTTTTAAAATCAGTATCATAAATTACATGTCTACTTATCTGTTTTTTTTAACAGATGCTTTTTAGAAATTAAATATATATATAATGGCCATGTAAATCTGTAATGTTTCGGGTATCTAACTAAATGATAAGGCGCTTGTAATTAATTGCTTAGAAGTTATCTCTACATATTAAGGTTAGTTATCATTTAATCCTTACTGTGGATGTAAGAGGTACAACATAAAAATGTAAAAATTATCATAAAACTTTATTTCTTACAGCTATTGATACTTAAAATAATATAAAACAATGTACCACCTGTGGTGCTTCATCAGCTTATTGGAACTTTGTATTAAATACTGTTAATTAATTGGATTATAATTCCAGCAACTCTGTGCAGAGCTGCAACATTAACTGGGTCAGACAGACAAAGTGCAACTAGCTTTCAACGCATACCAATCTTGCCAATGTCAGGCACTCATGTCTGTTCTGATCACTGTTGCTCTCTCTTAGCAGCCAGCAGTGATGGCAATGGCTAAGCTTGTTACAGATCATGCTGGTTAAGATTTTGTTTCTCATTTTAACCTTTGCGGCTTGACATAAAATTTACATACTGGATTTAGAGATTACATTATGAAATGAGACAAAAGAATCAACATAAACCTAATTATTAATAAAACTTAAATGTCGCTAATCTTCTTTAAAATATGTGAGACTATTATAAGTGTAAATTTTGAGGGATTTTGTAATTTAATGCTAATTACCTAATGAATTTTACAAAGTTGATTTTATTCTCAAATTTGTTTTATAGTTATGCAAAGTATTATGTTTAATGTATCCTACTTACAGATTTATTTTGTTCTTAGAATGTTATTACAGAATTGAAGTTTAGGTATAGATAACCATGTAAGTTTATTCAGTACCTTCTGCTAGGTCCTTAACTTTTTTCATTAATGATCCTTAAAAATCCTGAAAAGTACTTGATTTCAGTGTGCAGAAATGTGTAATGAACCCTGTATGTCTGAAGTCTAATGGATCAAGGTGAAATGTACTGCTGTAAAAAATATTTTGGGTAAAAATTTACTCTACGGTAGGTACCCTTTGGTGAATCGTTTCTTTTTTGACGCCAAGATCAGTGCCAGGAAGGATCGACGGCAATTTCAAGATGGCCACTACACAAAACCAAAATCAGAAGTCAAAGACTTACACAAACTCAGTGTCCATGTACACATTGACTTATTTTCCCTTAAACAAAATCAGGAATCTAAAACAAATTTAAAACTCTCATTGTAACCAGAATAAATTCGCCACTGTCTTAACACACGGAGACAAACAAATAACCAAAAATAGACAGGAATAAATAACCAAAAACCTAACATAAAAACAATAAACATACCTTATCCCACCACCATCTCCTCCATCCTCCAGGTAAGCAATTCAGTTAAATTTTTCAGTATTTACGGAAAATCCCGTCGACTACGAGAGATGGCACCAAACCAATAAAACTCATTTACTGAGAACAAGAAAGAAAAAAAAGTTCTGTTCTTATTTTTCTTTCAAATTTCTATTATCATTTATATTTAATTTTTCAGAAAAAATTTCCATTATTTTTTATTTATTACTGCTCAGTTTTTAAACAAAGCGCCATTTTGTAGCCACATTTTTTTGAGGTCGGTAAGATTCTATGACTTTGGAAATATTCAACAGCATGCTCTTCTGTACTAAGCAGGTCCCAGATTCTAATCTTTTTTTTTTTTTTTTTCTCCCTCGAAAATGTGTGATAGAGGTAAAAAAAAAGGAGTCTTTACTCAAGAGTAATAACACTAATCGAGGTTACACTAAACCTAGCATGTTTGAAGATGACTTTCCATTTTTGGTGAAAAATTGCGTAGTTTGGCATCTTTTCTTTAATAGGCAAAAATAGTCTACAGGATTTTCCAAAATTACCAATTTTTTGTTTTTTCAGCAAAAATGGTCAACATTCATCCTCTTACTACCTCAGACATACTCAAATGATGGTACACACAACAAAATAATAGCAAGCTCAAAATCCAAGACCATACCACGCACGTGCAAGCAAACACAGCAACTGAAAAGAATAGTAAGAACCAAAAGCACAGCGGGGTTCCAGATTTCACAAACAAGCAATACTGCTTGCTGGTTTTTTTCAGAAGGGTTACTGTACTTTCAGAACTTGGTTTTTTCAGAAGGGTTACTGTTTCACAAGGGTTACTGTACAGTTAAGATAAGCCAATATTTTGTAACTGAGTGCCAATTAAAGAGGCCACTAAAAATATGCTAAAGTAAAACAGAGCATGAATGAAATAGGCAGGGTAAATTTTATTATTAAAAAGCATTTGAAGTTACATTTTGTCTTAAATTATTGTTTGAATTTTGAAATTGTGTATTTTACATATATTTTACACATGCATGCTTGAATTTCTAGTTAACTTAAGTTCTTATATATGTAATGTTTTGTGAAAGTGTTCTAAAGCTGCGAAAACAAGATCAAATTGTCAAGAAAATATGCATTACTAATCCAAAACATTCATTCTACCTCTAATAACAAACTGCTGAATTCCTTGCTCAAAAACTGTGCAGGATAATCATAAATATTCAATTTTCAAAAGCTTTTGATGATACATATTAATGAAAAATAAAGTAAACCAAAAGCAATTATGCTACTCATAGCAAAGATCTGTATGTACAGAGCAGTTGTATGCACTTTAAATTAAAATTGACTGCAGTGAGATGATCAAAAATATATTTCCTATAATAGTGTGTAAATGTGCAAATAATTGTACACTTTTTAATTTTTCATCTTATTTTTATGAAATAGTGTAAAAAAATCTATAATACTCTCTTTTTTTTTCCTTTTCCAGATTGAACTTGAACGGCTTAATACTGCAACTGATTTGATTAATAAGTTTGAAATTGAATTGGATGTAAGAAATACTTTTATATATACATTTATATATATATGTAAACTTTTTTTGCATTAAAAATAAATGTTAAAACGAAAATTAAGTTTGCATAATTTCTGATATCTTCTTAACTCTCTGAGTGAACATGACTGCTTTTATCTGATCCTGAGATTTTTTGTTACTTGGTATATATTAGCTAATAGTTTAAGATATTTTGCTTTTCTTACTATCTTCAATAATGTAAATGTCATCTTAATGAATGTAAGTCTATGAAAATAAAATCTAAAATAAGTAATTAGAAATCTAGCTAATAAATACAGTTTAAATCCAGGTCTTTATGAGAAATCCAAAAACCCACGCTGCTCAGAGTGTTAAATCTGTATCAGAATTTGAAAGTAAATTATTTCTAAGAAAGGAAACTCTTAAAAAAATATTAATTATTTTCTCTTATGAAATTTTGGATGTAAACAAGAAAAGTTTTAATCAGGATGTGCACATTTAAAGCTTTGGTTATTTAAGACAACATAGTATTGGTATTCTAATATTCAAAACCTAATCTGCATGAAATTCTGCCATTAAAATCCTCCCTCTTGGTAAGTCTATGTAGCATGATATCTGGTAAAAAGTTAATTCAACTATGGCCAAAAAAACTGAAATATTTTTTGCATATTTAAAAATTGTCATTTTAACTTTTTTAATATATATGTAATATGTATTATTTGGATATTAGTAATAAAATTCACTGGGAAAATATAGACATCAATTATTGGAGTGTTTTTGCATGGTAATGCTTTTCTCTCAACTACCTCAAAAATGCAATGGACAAAGAAATGGAATTCTGTGACAAGAAATGAAATTTACTGCTTAAAGAAAAAATAGTTTAAATTGTGTCATTCATTTAGTTCAAATCTAAAATTTCTCCCCAAATGCCTTTCTTATATGAATTGTGTTGGAAAAAAAGTAAATTGAGGGAAACATTGTAAAAACTACGAGCTTTAACAATGCAGAGCGATAGATTATCAATCTGAAAAATTGTCATAGTAAAGCGATTGATGTACTGTTTTTTTTTTTTTTGTTTATTCACTTACCTGTAGCACACTTGTTCTAGTGTCCAAAAAATTTCTTAAGTTCAGAAGAATGAATGTTTGATTTTCCCACCAAAAGTTTCAAGTGGAAATTGATCTTAATGTAAGCGACAGAACAGTTCGACCAACGCTGGTGAATGAAAAATTTTACCCTCAATGTCCAAGGAAGATGCTAGTTTTAAAGAAAATATATACCACAAAGCATATGCAGTTTACCAAATTGTACCATATCCAAAATAACACTGAAAAATTTAAGAAACGGTGAAGAAATGTACTCTGGAGTGAGGAAACGAAAATATATATTTTTTTTCAGTGGATAGGAAACAGTTTGCCATCTTCAATGCCAGGCATATAATCCAAAATATGCAAGGAAAACTGTTAACCTTTTCCCGGGGGCTGGGACATATATGTCCCAAGCAAAGTGTACGGCAACTGGGGGCCCGGGACAGTTTTTCCTGGGTCGCAGGGGTAGGAATTCTAACGCTTGAGGCTTGAGGACTATTTTACGACACCCTAACGAGTGCCTTCTTTTGAGGGATTCCGCTAATGGGTAGGGGTAATTGTCCGTAGTTTGAACTCACATGGCCTGTTTGCGAATTCGGTGTCTTCCAGGAAATATTTTCTCAAGAGGAGAAAATAAAAAGACTAATTTGTTACTTCGATTCTTGCGCGTTTGCGCTTTAAGATCTTTCTTCAATTTTTTTTCCTTTTGCAAATACCGTTATAAATTCTTTGAGTTGATATTTATCATTTTTCCGAGTTCGGTATTAAATAATGGCTAAATGTAAAGGAAATTTTCTTTGTTTCATTCTTTTTGTAATTGTTTACTTCAGTTTATTCCAGTTTTTAATGTGCATGTAAAGGCAGTGTAATGAATATAAACGTTTCAGGTGATGAAAATTAATTTTAATGTTATTTCTAAATGACATACATTCCACAACTACTGTTTACTTGAGTGAAATTTTGCTTTGTTATGTTCTAAATTATAACTAGCGGCTGAGCGGATAAATTTTCTTTAACACTAATAATTCAACCTGGGTTCAAATTTCGAAGAACGGATTAACTGCATGAACCTTTCGTATTCGTTCATGTATATGAGCCAATTTCCTTCGAACGTCCTCCACGAAAGCCCCCTTCGATTGGGCAAATATTCTTTTCTTTAATCAGACGAATGAAAATAAAATTATATTCGAAATAAGAAAACTATATTTATGAGCGTCTCATAACTATATTTAGAAACCCTTCCTTTTATGAATAATTTTGATGAGAAAATGAATTTTGACTGTGCGATAAATGAAACACGAATTTTTATTAAAGCTGTTAGTAAAGAACATTTTATACTTCAAAATTTAAAAAAGTTTCAAAACTTATTAATTTATCCGTTGTTATATCAGGGTTCGTACGGTCCTCAAAAGTCCTTAAAAGTCCTTAATTTTTTCAAAAATGATTTTTGGTCCTTAAAAGTTCTTAATTTTGGCCAAAATGAATATATGGTCCTTAATTTTGCTCATTTGACATTTCTTATCATTTCTAATGATTGCCATTCTATGTGTGAATTGCGATTTCTCATGAATATGGAATTAAAATTGCACGGCTCTTAACCAATCTCTTGGCGGATTTGCATTGCAAACAATTAAAAAAAAAAAAAAAACCTAGCTACCCGAATGAAAGTATCAGGTGGTCTGATTGGCTATTCACCCAATCTTTTTCGAAACAGGTGTTATCTATAAATTTAGGCAGATTGTGACGAAAGCGTGAAGCCGGAAGTTCTTTAAGAGGCGAAAGTGATGATGAAGGTGCTCGAGAAAAAAAGAAAAAAAGGGGGAGGGATTCTGAAAATATTTGCCAAAATTAGAACAATTCCCAACCTGGAAGGCCACAACCCCTCGGACAACCCTCCGATGCCAATAGGAACGAGATGCCTGGAAAAGTGCATTTTCAATAAACTGTGGCTTCATCAAGCTGACTACAAAGACTGGATATTGATGGATGGCAATCCTTATAAAGCTAAATGTGGGTCTTTTGTCTGAAACAAATTGAAATTTCTAGAATGGGAGAGTCAGCGCTGAAAATTCACATGAAAATTAAGTTTCGTTTTATCATTTCAGTTTGTTTTTACACGGTTTTGCTTAGCTTAATTTCTGTGTTTGTTTCAATTAAGCCATAAATTAATTTATCACCTTCTACGGAGTTTATTCTCTTTTGCACATACCATATGTGTGGGATATCGGGATTATGAGTTTATTTCTGCAGAGGGTTTGTTATCGATTTCGCGGGAAATCTGTTGGCTCCATTTCGATTTTAGGTCGCCAAGGGCAAATTCGCTAATGCTAGCCGATAAAAAGTGAAGTTCGGAAATATGTTTAGAAGCTTCAATAGACAATTAAGTATTTTATAAAAGGAATTTTTCAAAGAATGTTATTAAATTTTAATATTGCATTCTAAGAGATAACATTCACCAAGTTTTAGCGATCCAACCCCCCTCCCCCCCAAAAAAAAGTGTTGTTGAAGTGATGCATAATTTTTGCTAATGGTGATACAATTATTAGTTGAAAATAACTAATTAAAATTTTTTTAATATCTTTAAAGCTGAAAACAACTAATTGAAACTAATTTTCCTGAATTAACTAGACGCAAAATTAACTTTCATGAATTACTAAAGTTATTGGGTAGAAGTTTAACTGAAAATATACATTCCGTATTATATATATATAATATAACAAGCAAGGTAGTTAGTACAATACTGTAAGACCAATTTGGTCTAGATAACATTTTGCGCAATATGCTGCAAAATAAGTAAAAAAGAAATTGTAGTAAGCTCGCCTAAAAGTTACCAAGAGCTTAATATTTATATGTTTACTTTATTAAACATTTCTTTCAATGTGAGTTGTTTGATTTGTTTTCTCTGCTAATACTTTAGACTAATACTATAGACATATAATTTCTTGTTCAGTTATTAAGTTCCATTGTTCAAGTCCTGTAATTGCTGTGTCGAGAATTCCGAATAACTTGTCAATCAAAATTTTTTTCTCGTTCAGTAACCTCTCTGTTACTTTCTTCTCTATCGGTAGCTGTATTTTCTGGATTTAGAACCATACTACAGATTTCGCCCTCCGTTAATTGATTGATAATTGGGCATTGTCATCGCATTGAAAAACTTCTGTTTAACTTCGCTAAATTCTGCCGCCTGTTGCGGCCATGCGAGCTCTGGCGCTGGTTCTGGCTTTATGTGAATAACAAATCAGTTATTCTTAATTCAAGTAGCACTAAATATAATCGTTTGTCCTATGAGTATCATTAACAAAATCTAATTTTAGCATAAGGAAAGAAATTTCTGCTAAATCTCCCCTTGTCAACATTTTAGCGCATTAAATCTGTAATTGGATAATACTCTGTTATTTGGCGTCGCTGCATGATTCATCACTCAAGTTGTCATCCGTTGATAAACATGCGGTGATGAAAGCAAAATACAATAAATAATGATTCGCGATTTCGGCATCAAGGATATAAAATATTAGTTGGTGTAAAATTAATCAAATGTTTCTCGGTTTTGAGATTATGCCAAGCAGATACGCAGCTATGGAGTCAAGTTACTAAACTAATCACACAAATTTATGCTAAAATAATTATTTCTTCAATAATGAGAATATTTTATTGAGCGCCAAACTGAGTTTAAGAATCGGGATTTCCGACATGTTTTTTTATGATGAGAAAAAAAAATCTAATGCGCATGCGTAAAGCATACCTCCCTTCCCTTCCAAAAAAGCCCTAAAAAGTTGGTTGGTGGTGGCTTTGAGGTCCGGATTTTAGATCATTCCAGATATTGGATGTCCGGATCTCGGACTTTGTACTGTATATTTATATATATATATATATACATCTTTCAAAATATAACTACCAGCATGGATTCACTCTTTTAAAATAATTCTACTTTAA